ATGCCTCTGTCTAATATGAGAAGAATATACCTACACTGATTCCTGGGTAGTGGCCACGGATCTGGCTGAATGGTCTGGGGCCTAGAGAAATTGGACAAATAAAGGCTCAGATCAGGACCAATGAAGGAATTTTCCATTGCCTCCTACCACAGACATTTCCTTATGGGGAATATTTCCATGTGTGAAAGATAACATATGTCCCCAGTTGAATAAACAATCAGAAGAACAACAAAGGATGGACAGTGGATCCTCTGCCAATCTGGACATGAGGCTATGATGTTATGTTGTGCCAGATACTGAACCACTGACAACCCTAACTAAGGACAAAGCAGTTAATCTTGCCCAATTTGGCTCCTTATGCCAATGAGAGTACCCATTTGACCATGTCGCCCTCAACCTGTCTGCAACTGGCAAAATGGTCCTCTTATACTATATTAGGGCAAGAAGTTTGCTCCCTTCTAATCAATAGCTTCATTAACATGAGCCAACTGCCAAGGTTAGGTGTTCTACCTCTCAGAAGCCATGTCTGTGACGAATCAACGGCATGCTAGACAGGGAGAGAACACTATGGTTCAGTGTTTTCTCAGATCCAGTTTCCAGAAAGTTCTACCCAGTAATGGTTGACTGCTTTTAGACATAGTTCTAGCTGCCCTTCTCCAGCCCTTCATTGTTTCTTTCCCAGCAGAAAGTTGCCTAGGCTTCCGGGTTCTTACCACCTCAGAAGGTGCCATATACCTTGAAGAAACAGCTCAGGTTCCCCTTTAATTGATAGGCCTCCTTTTCTCTGGATTGGTTCAGACCACCTCTTCCTAGAAAGGGCTTGGGGAACCAAAGGGTAATACAGTAGGGAAGGTGCCTCATTTTCCAACAGCTTGGGAGAAGTGCTATATAACTATGAAGGTATATTTTCCTGGAAGAGAGGGATATCCTGACTATTGAGTTCCTGGAGGAAGGTAAGGGTCCTTATCCAAACTCTGCAAAATAATTGGGGAAGCCCCTCAGTAGAGGCCCCTACTGAGACAGAAATTTGGTGTTACTGCAACAATAGGGCTCCCAGGGAGGAGGATATGTGGGTTGTGGGTTAGGGAATACTGAGGGGGTGGTAGTACAAGATGAGTCTTGGTATCAACACTGTCACCAAAATAGGCTACATGCAAGAGGGTAATGACCTCTCAGCTCCAGAAAACTGTCCTTCCTAAGGTAAAGAGTGATCTCTAGGATTTCTGGTGTTTATTCTCTCCCACAGTCACTCCTTTAGAGGTCATTACATTTTTTTTGTTGGTTTGGTTTGGTTTTGCTCTCTTTTCAACTGAGATTTTTTTCCCCTCTTCTTTTTCCTTCAGTACTATGTCGTGTTCTTCATATCCTCAAGGTTAAGGTTGTCCATAATGGTCCTAAAGCCATTTAAATGGTAGAAGGTTCTCTAGAACAGCAGTGTCAAACTTACAGCCTGTGGACCGCAAGTGACCTGCAAAATTTCTGAGTACAACCTGAACTAGATTAAAATGTAATGGAGAAATGTTTAACAAAAAGAAATAAAAATACAATACAACATAGATAATGTTAATTTGCAGTTTTCTAAGGCATTATGCTGTCTGCAGGAATATGTTTCTATGAGTCTGACAACACTGCTCTAGAAAACCTTTAGCATCTTGCCACCAAGGAGTGGGATATGACAGGCCAGTATTCTCCTCCCTTGCCTAGTTTTTTTTTTTATCCCTAAAAGTCAAAGAAGTTGCCTTCAGTATATTATTTATCCAGAAGGCTAAGTCTGAGCTGCCTACTTGTTGATGCAACTTCCACATGTTACTAGGCTATATTGATATGTCTTCCGTTTGTGCAAGGTCATAAACTTTACCCATGTGAAATTGTGGCCAAGTGACCATACTCTGCCTTGCTGACTACTGCTTTCTTCATTTTGCATCAGTTCATAAGAATGTTCCCACATGTCTTTGAATTTGCATATTCCTTACTTACAATACAATAGTATTCCATTACATTCATATGCCACGATTTCTTTAGTCAGTCTCCTTCGATAGGGCCACTTTGTTTCTAATGTTTTGCCATTTCAAAAAGTATGTGTATTTTGGTACACATGGAAACTTTCCATCTCTTTGATTTCTTTGGGGATATGCGCTTTAGTGGAATTGCTAGGTAAAGATAGTTTAGTACCGTCTTTCAAATAAACTCAAATTGTTTTCCAGAAGAATTCGACCAGTTCCTAGCACCACCAACACATATGTTAGTGTGTTTGACATCTTATAACCCCTCTAACATTGACTTTATATTTTATTTCCTTTCTCAATTTGAGGGGTATAAGGTAAAACTTAAGAGCTGTTTTAATTTGTATTTCTTTCATTACTCGTCATTTGGAATATTTTTTCACATAGTTGTTATTTACATTTTCTCTTTTGAAACTTATGTTTTAGAGAATGGCTAAATTTTAAATTATATATACACATGTATACATGTATATGTGTGTACACGTATACAAAATACATATTTATATTATATATATATGTGAAATCACAGTGTTTAGACAAAAATCTATCTTTCCTTCCACTGATACAGATGGTAACTTTTCTGTGATTTTTAGTTTTAGAGCTTCCTGATGTACTGATTAAGTGAGTTGCCCCAGGCTTCACAGCTGTATCAGAAATGGGACTTGAACCCAGGTCTTTTTGCTTCCAAGGCATACCTTACTGCCTCTCATATATTTATGCTACTTCTCCACATATCTTGGATATCAGATTTATCACACGTTTGATGCATAGATTCCCCCTCTCCATTCAATATCTTCCCCTCTTATTCCAGTTCTTTTAGTTTTGTACATGCAACTTTCCCTTCCTTCCTTCGTTGAAACTGCCCATTTAAAATATATTTTGCATGATTCCACATGGATTTCATCCATATCAAATTGCTTGCCTATTCAAGGATGGGGGAGGGGCGGGAGAGAAGAAGAGAATTTGGAATTCAAAATTTTAAAAAATAAATGTTAAATTTTTTCCATGTAATTGGGAAATACTGAACGAAATAAATTTTTAAAAATTTAAACTGTCCATTTTATCTTTTCTATTCTCTGTTTGTTTGGTTATGAATACACTTCCCAAAATTGGCTGTAGAATATTTCATCTTCCTTAATTAAAAAAAAATTATGTGACCCTTTTGATCTCTATGTTTAATGTCACTCATATTGTCTTTAAAGGCAGCATAATTGTGGCCAGGGTAGTCAGGAAACCTTGGTTTTAATCTCATCTGAAATACTGGCTTTGTGATCTAACACAAATCATTCTCTTTCTAAGAGTCTTCTTTTCCTTATCAACAAAAAAGAAGAATATTTCTATTATATACCTCAGGAGAGACAGTACTTGGCAGACGTTCTTAACTTGGGGCTGTGAATTAAAAAACTTTTTTTTTTTGCTAAGCTTTTCAATATAATTGGTTTCTTTTATAATTCTATATATTTTATGCATTTAAGAACACTGTTCTGCTTACTAGCTGTGTGACCCTGGGCAAGTCACTTAACCCCAATTGCCTGAAAAAAAAAGATAAAGAACACTGTTCTGAAATGGAGTTCACCAGACTGGGTCCAAGACACACAAAAAAAGATTAAGAACTGCTGGTACAGAGGATAGAGCATTTATTAAGTACCTATAATGTGCAAGGTACTTTATAAATAAATTATCTCATATATATAATCCTTACAACTCTGGGAAGTAGGTGCTATTATAATCTCCATTTTACACTTGAGGAGTCTGAGGCAAACAGAGACAAAAGTAAGTTTCTGAGGTAGCATTTGAATCCAGGTCTTCCAGACTTTAGGTGCAGCGTCCTATCCACTACACCACCTAGTTGCAAACTTGGGTTCACTTCCTATCTCTGACTCAGATGGGTCTGCATAACCCTAGGCAATCACTCAGCCTCTCAGTTCTCTTGTCAACACTCTAAGAGCAAGCTGCCGGGCAGGTTCTTATCTTCATTTGTAAAGGGGGTTCCCTTAAAGTTCCTATGCCAATGAAAACCCAGGTCTGGTGTCTGTCCCTCCTCCCGCAGCAAAACCAAACCTTATCTTACAGGGTTGTGAGGAAGCTGTGTATACGTTGCTGGTTAGTGGTGTTCCTGTTTCTTAGCTTATTGCTGTGACTTATTATATTGATTGTTTTTAATGGTATTAACCATCCTTGCAGTCCAGTATTGGCTCCTACTTCGTTATAACGGATCATTCCTTAAATGCATCGATGGTTTCTCCTCTTTAAGGATACAGTTCACCTAATGGGTGACTCCATCAAGAGGCACACATGACCCTTTCTTGCCAGGAACCACACAGCTTTGGTTCATGTTTCAGATCCGGATTGAAAGAGGGAGCCAACTCCAGCGGGGACCCGCCGTTGGTGCTGGACCCTAGCTTCCTTCCAGACAGACATCCCTTTGGAGCGGCTCCGACCCTTCGCCCTCTGGCCTCTCTCCGAACCTACAGGGAACGATGGGACACGTAGTTCCCACCCCCAGGTCGTCTAAATCCAGGTTTTTGTCGCCGGGGGTAGCCTTATCCTTGCGGAAAATGAGGAAAGCGGAAGGGGAAGCACGTGCCTGGGGAGGGGGTGAAGACTGCCGGCACCCTTCTTCTAGAATATACCTGGAAGCTGTTACTTTCTCCGATCCACACCTACGCCCGTCCGAGGCCGAGGCCCAATGGCGGACCCGGTGGAGGAGAACTACAACTCCCAGAAATCCTCTTGTCTACGCCAGCCGAGGGACTCCTTTACCGAACTCCCTCCGGGCCCCCTCCTCTCCCTGGTGCTTCTATAAACACACGGGAGAAACTGTCATGGAGGGGGAGGAGGCCGCGGCGGCTGACGGGGACGTTTGGGGCCGCTCCCGGGGCTCCCCGGCTCATTTCTGAACAGGTCCCCTCTCCCTGGGACCTCGGGATCCGAAAGGGCTAGAGGCTAGACCTGAGGACGCGTTGAAAAAATAAATCCCTGTCCTTCCCCGGGGGCGGAGCCGGGCGGGCGGGCGGGCGGGCGAGGCTGTGAGGCCGGGCCTGAGAGCCTGCGGACATGGATGACAGCAAGGTAAGCCCTGGCCCAGGCCAGCCGCGGCTGCCGACCCTGCTCGGCTGATCGTCGAGGGCCACCCGGAGGCGTGGGGAGCTCTGCCCGGGGCAGTAAACGCCTCCGGCCGGCGGGATACACTTTTGAATTTCGTCCAGGGGTGGCGAGGAGTTTGGGGGGCACAGCCCTCCGAAGGCTCCTCTCCTCGGGAGTTAGCCTTCACCCCAGGGCCAGCCCAGGTCTGTTTGTCCACCCCTGGCCTTTTCCTTTTCTTTATTCACCTAGGTGAAAAATTAGCCCTCTTGTCTCTTGTTGGCTCCCATCCCTCTTAATTGGGGGGTGCTCACTCACTAGGTGACTGCAGTAATTTCCTTGGACTTCTCGGCCCTAGGTCAGGTTGTATCTTATTGTCTCCCATTCCTCTTAGTTTGGGAATCCTTAACTGGATTAATTTCCTTTGATTAGTGTGCCCTAGGCAAACTCTCCCCCTTTTCTTTGCTCAAAATCCCTTTAGGGTGAAACCACTTCTACCCCTGAAAGGTCTTCTTATGGCCAGGACAGCCTTGCCTCTCTACTTTCTTCTTTCCATGAGATCCTGAAATTTGGTCTCCTCTAGAGATCTTTAGCAAGACCAGCTAGTCACCACACTGTTTAGAGTCCTGGGCTCGGAATCAGGAAGACTCATATTCATGAGTTCAAATCTAGCCTCAGACAGTTACTAGCTGTGTGACCCTGAGCAAAGTTACTTAACCCTGTTTGCCTCAATTCCTCATCTGTAAAATGAGCTGGAAAAGGAAATAGCAAACCACTCCAGTATCTTTGCCAATAAAACCCCAAATGGGGTCACAAACAGACATGACTGAATCTTGCTGGGCAACTTTCATGTCCTACTTTCCTCTTATTAATTTCTCTCTTATTCAGGGTATTTACTCTGGTACTACTTTTGTAGCTAATGCTATCATATTGAATTCATACACCAAAATGTCCTGTGACTATTTTTGTCTATACTTGTTAGTATGAGGGTAGCTTATATAGCAAATTTCCTAAGGATAAGATACTATTCCCATTTAAATGTTGGGAAACTCATCCTCATGAATAAGAAGGAATTAGACATTTCTAAAACTGGCTTTTTTGAAGTAGAAATCAGGCCTTCCAAATGCTTCTCTGGTGACTAGCCGCTTTACGTCATCTGTTCCTCTGTCATATCTCAATTGTTTTCCTCATCTTTTCTCCCATTAGAGCTTTTCTGATGTGGAGGTGTATCTGTTGTTACATACATACAAAGGTAGGGTGGTAAGAATTACCTTAGTTCTGTGATGGTTTAGCCTGGTCGTGTCATCATCTCTCTTTCAGGAGATAGGTAAGGTATGTTTCATCTTCAGTCCTCTGGACTGATCATTGCATTGATCAGAGTTGTAAAGTCTTTCAGAATTTTTGGTTTTTTTTTTTATAGTGCTTTGTCATTGTAGAAATTATTCTCCCAATTCTGTTTATTTCACTCTTCTTCATTTCATAAGCTTGTTTCCAATTTCCTCTGAAACTTCCTTTAAGAAAGTGACTCTGAAATTGTTCATTTCATCTTTTCTTATGGTACAGCAATATCCCATTACATTCATATACCATAATTTGTTTAGTCATTCTCTAGTAGGTGGATTTTCCCCTTTAGTTTCTAGGGTTTTTTTGTCACTACAAAAAGAGCTGCCATAAATATGATTGTACATTTGAGTCCTTTTCTTCTTTCTTTGATCTTTTTGGGGTATAGATCTGGTGGTGGTATAGCTGGGTCAAAGGGTCAGAGTTTAGTGATTTTTGGAGTATAGCTCCAAATTACTTGCCAGAATGACTGGAATACTTCACAATTATCCAGTGCATCACTGTGCTTATTTTCCTGCAGCCCTTTCAACATTTGACATTTTCTTCTTTTGTCATCCTTGTCAATCTGATGGGTTTCAGGTCAAATCTCAGAAATGTTTTAATTTGCTTTTGTCTAATTATTAGTGCTCTGAAGCAGTTTTATATGGTTGTTGGTAGCCTGGATTTCTTCCTGTGAAAGCGGCCTGCTTATATCCCTTAACCATTTGTCATTGAGGAATGGCTTTTAGTCTTAAATTTGAATCAGTTCCCCACCTATTTCCCTTCTAATTTTAACTGCATTCTGGTTTTCCACAAAAGCAACTTTCCTCTTAATAAACAGGTATTTATTAAGTGTCTGCCGTGGCTCAGGCACTATGTTTAAACATTATTGACAAAGACAAAAAAATGAAACTGTTCTGCTCTCAAAGAGCTTACATGGTATGTGAGAAATAAGGGTACACATAAGTAGACACAAAGTAAATTCAAGTTAATTTTAGGGTTGGAGAGATAGCAAGTATTGCATCGTAAGTGATGGTTAAGATGAGCTTTGAAAGAAGCTAAGCATTCTAAGGGGCAGTTAGGTGGCCTAGTGGGTAGAGTGGTGGGCCTGGAGTCAGGAAGGCCTGAGTTCAAATGTGACCTCAGACACTAGTTGTATGTCCCTGGGCAAGTCACTTAACCCTGTTTGACTCAGTTTCCTCATCTGTAAAATAAGCTGGAGAGGGAAATTGCTAACCGTTGTAGTATCTTTGCCAAGATAATACTCCCTCAAGATACTCCCCCTCAAAAAAAAGGATGTCATGAAGAGTTGGACAAAACTGAAAATGACTAAACAATAGCAAAGGATTCTAAGAGATGAAAGAGAGGAAAAAATGCCTTTCAGGCATGAGGGTCAGCCAGTGCAAAGGCATAGAGACTGGAGATGGACTGTTATTGAAGATAGAATGCCGTGTATGAAGATAAGCAAATAGATTAGTTTGGCTGGAGCATAGTATATGTGAAGGAGAGAAATATGTAATAATCGTGAAAAGGCAGATTGATGTCGTGTTATGAAGGACTTTAAATGCCAAACAGAGGGGTTTGTATTTGATCTGAGAGGCAATCAGGAATCACTGGAGTTGTTTGTTTGTTCTGTTATTTTCTAGCTCATTTGCTTTAGGAATATCACTTTGGTGGTGTTCTGTGGGATATGTATTGGTGAAGGAAGAGACTGGAGGCAGGAGACCAAAGAGAAGTCTATTATTTCAGTAGTTCAGGTGAGAAGTGACAAGGGAAGGTGGTTATGGTATTTGAGTTAGAGATGCTTTGGAGGTAGAATTGATAAGACTTGGCATCTATATGTGGAGTGAGGGGGGAGAGAAGAGCTGAAGATGATGTTGAGGTTGTAAACTCGAGTGTTGGTAAGAATGGTAATGCCCTTCATAGAATAGGGTAGTTAGGAAGAAGGGCAGATTTTGGTGGAAAGATGATGATTTCCATTACAACATGCTGAGTTTGAGATGCCTATTGGATGTACAGTTTGAAATGTATAATAGACAGTTGGTGATACAGGACTGGAGCTCAGGAGAGAGAGAAGAATCAGATATATATTTTGGAGTCATCTGCATGGAGATTATAATTGAATTGACAGGATCACCAAAAAAGGAGACTACGTAAAGAAATTAGAAGGCCCAAGACAGAGCCTTGGGGTGTACCCTAAGTTATGGGATAAGTGCCTCAGGCATATTAAGCTTTTATAATAAATGCTTGTTGAAGGGAAGTAATTTTTTAAAAAAGTAGGAGGCTAGATGAGTTATGGAAAGATAGGCACATTTAATGCGCTTTTGGTAGAAATGTGAATTGGTTCAACAGTTGTGGAAAGTAATTTACTAAGAAAGTGACTCAAATTATATACCCTTTGACCCAGAGATTCTACTGCTATTCATATGTCCTCAGGAGGTCAGTTATTAAAAAGAAAGAAACAAAAGGTACTCTGTACATTAAAATATTTGTAGTAGCAAAGAATTGAAAACAAAGCCATTTCCTAGCAATTAGGGAATGGATAAGCAAGGTGTAGTCCCTGAATGCAGTGGAACATTATTGCACTGTTAGAAAATGATCAATGTGATGAATATAAGAAGCATAAGAAAACATATGAACTGATGAAAAGAAAAATAAGCAGAACTAGGGAAATAAATACTCATTTGATTGGTCCAGCAAATGATATTAACAAGGAGTGGCCCGACTGGTAGGAGGAGAACCAAGAGAAAGCAGTGTCATTAAAAACCTTGAGAAGAGACAGAGAGTATCCAGGAGAAAAGAGGAAATAGAGGCAGCAGCCATTTCTAGGAATTTGATTGATAAAGGGGGGAGAATCATAGGAAGGGAGGTATATAATAGGGTCAAGTGAGGGATTTGTGTAGGCAGCAGGGAAGGAGCAAGTAAAGGATCAGTCAATCATACTTTTTAAAAGCCCTACTATGTGCCAGACTCTGTGCTGAGTAAGTAATGGAATATAAAGAAATGCTAAAAACAGTCTCTGCTGTCAAGGAACTGTCTAATAGAGGAAACAACATGCAAACAACTGTGTACAAACAAGATATTTAAAGGATAAATTGGGGTGGTCACAGAGAAAAGGTGCTAGGATTGCAGAGATGGGGAAAGACTTCTTGCAGAAAGTGGGATTTTAGCTGAGACTTGAAGGGAAAGTTAGGGGGTAGAAATGAGGAGGGAAAGAATTCCAGGTATGGGGAATAGCTGGTGAAAACTCTTGGAGTTGGGAGATGGGAGTATAAGGTGAGAGGAACAGCAAGGAGGCCAGCATTACTACATGGCAAAGTAAGTGAAGGTAAATAAGGTGTAAGAAGACCGGAAAGATAGGAAGGGATCAGGTTATAAAGGGCTTTAAAAGCCAGATGGAGCACCTGGAGTTGGAACAAGTAGAAACAAGTAGAGGGGCTGGCCTTGACAAGAAAAGCCCTCTCTTCACCAGAAACTGAAGTAAAGGAGAAGAGAATGTGGAATAATGTTTAGAAGTTTTGAATTGAAAATCATGAGAAAAGGTGGAGCTCTGGGTGAATGGCCTAATTTTCTTCACTGAGTATGAAGCTGAAGTTCTCTGCTGAGGTGGGGGGAGGGAGGGTCATGTGGGACTCTTGAGAAGAGAAAAGTAAATTTTTGAACTCTGT